CTCAGCTCCTCATCCCTAGCTCAGTTACGCAGTGTTGCTTCCCAGGATCTGCCAGCGCCTGTGACAGCACTCCCATGCACTTCAGTCAAAATAAGGTGGGTTAGCCACAGTGTTTCACAGAAGCTACAGAAGTGAAGCCAGGTCTTCTTAAATGAAAGAAATAGCAAACAGCTTGTGGATGCCCAGGAAAGGAGATGATGTATAAGTTGATGGTGACAGGCAGATGTGGGCAGAAGCAGTTGGTAACTCATCCCACAGGCACAGGTGTAGACAGAAGATGCTTAAATGAGCTGGATGAAGAAGTCAGTCATGGTAGTGTACCCTGCACTGCAAGACAGGCTGGAGCTGGAACAGCAGATGTGACTGAAACCCACACTGAGCCTCAGGGGAGATGCAGTGACAAGGACAGAGCTCTTCTTGACATAAAGGAGAGCATTATCTCCTGTGTCTGAGTGCACAGAGTTGGTATGAAGTGTGTTGCACCTCTGAAAACCCAGAGGCACCTCAAGCCAAAGGGAAAAAGCTCTACCCTCACTTGCACGTGCTGGCACGTGCAAGCAGCCACACAGTGATGGGAGCAGGGAACTGGCAGGGGTTACAGGCCACAGCTTTCGTGCCAGCTTAGCTTCCAGCAAGGAGGAAGACTCTGCAGGATAAAGGCAACTGATGAGGGCTGGGAGAAGACAAACCACTGCTCTACATAGCAGTACTAGCTCACAGTGGCTAAGAGTGTCCATTGGACCATCGGAAAATTTAGGTAGAAAGGAAATTTGGGAGGTCTCCAGCCCAATATCCTACTCCAAGCAGAGTCAGCCACAAGAGTAGACCAGATTGTTCAGGGCTTTGTCCAGTTGGGACTTGAAAACCTCCCAGGATGGAGGCGACATAAACTCTTAGGGCAACGTGCTCCAATGACCAACTGTGTCCACACAGTAAAAAAAAGGTTTCCTTGTACCTAGTCTGAAAGTCTCCTGTTTCCATTTATGCCTGTTGTCTACCATCCTCCCATCACACACGGCTGTGAAAAGCTTGGCTTAGACAGCTGCTCACCACAGTTGTGGTCCAAGCATCAAGTCCTATTGCTGATTCGTAACTGTCCTGTTGGGAAAGTTGTCACCAACTTGCTTTAGCAGGATAAGATGTGGCATGTTTCCAAGCTTGAATGAAACTTTTCTTTGGCTTATCACAAAATAATGTATGAGTTAAAGAGCTCATCATGTCATTTGAAGATGGCAATGATCTGTAATACTCTCTGTGCATGGCTTAACACATAGATGTTATTGGAGAGTAAAATTATTCTTACACAAGAATCTCATTTTTAAATCTTTATTTAAAAAGAACTAAATCAACTACTTGGACAGAAAAACAAGAGAAATACCAGAAACTGCAACAATAATGATAAAATACACTTTGAAGATATCAGAAGCATCTGAGTCTCCTGCAGGCTCCTATATGCACTATAGGCATCATTATGAATTAATGATTTATCATGCAAGGTATTTTTAACAATAAGCAAATACAGGTGTGTAATATAAAGAATATTCAAAATATATTTAGCCAATAGTTCAGATACAGAACATTAATTATACAATTTAATTGTAATATGTATGAGGCAAACTCTAAACAAGACAAGGTTACTACATTATTAAAGCCTGCTTTGCAGTGCCTTAATAATATACTGTTGAAATAATACTACACCTATTTTAAACAAGTTTATTATATCTTTGGGCAGACTGCAGTCTCCCTCCCTCCTTACAGCAGGAAGCACTGCATACTATATGCAAATAAATCTCCAAGTGAAATATTTAATAGCTTTTCTAAATCCATCTTCAGCCCCAAACAATTGTTTCTGAATATTATTGTTTTTACTTTAATATGTAGCAGAACTTGGTTCATTCTGTGATGGTAAGGCTGGATCCCACAAACTTAACAATCTGTTTAAGGGATCAAAACATGGGAATTAAGTCTAAAATTCAGTTTCTCCCCTTTTCCTGAATGCTTAGTTGAGTTATGGAGCACTTTCTTCTTTCAAAACCAAATTCCTACAGAACATTAATAAATTAAATGTGGATATTTAAAAGAGATCAACATTGCACCTGCTGTATTTGTGCCACATGCTCTAGGTAACCCTGCATGTGCAGGGGGGTTGGACTAGATGATCTCTAAAGGTCCCTTCCAACYTTAACAATTCTATGATTTTATCACCCCATCTTTCAGGTATTTGTGTGAGACTCAGCAGGTCTTTTCAGAAAACGTCACAGGAAATCAAATAAACCACCATGTAAAGAGGAGTGCACAGATATCCCACACTCTTCCCCTCACCCAGACCTGGCACTCCGCATCCCTAAGGCTGCATTTCCAGGCATGTGCCTGTCTCTGAACAAGAAAAAGGGAGGGTAAGTTGGATTTCTCTATAGTTTCTAATTCTACCACTGAATTTCCTGCTGACYTCCACACTATAGTGTCCTTAAAAGTTTCTGCAGCAACTTCCATGTTTATTGCCAACCCGCCCAGGGTGTGGGCTGAAAGCAAGCCCAAACAAACCGCCCTTCTCCTCCACTTTTGGCCCTCGTTCCCTATAGAAGTAACAAAGCAGATGCCCCACTTCTTCCCCAGCAATATCTTATTTGAAGACTTACATCTATGTGTGCTCCTTCCATACTTTCCCAGAAGACAAATGTACTAGGTATCAATACCTTCCAATCCCCACCARTTTCCATGTACTGATTCCTTGCAGTACACAAGAATCTAGACATGGAGCTGTTGGGCAGGTGGGACGGTTTTGTGGGAGGGCTGTTGTTGTCACACCTGAGTCTGCTGACAACCTTTGATCGGTTTTAGTTTCATCATTGCAGTCCAAGCTCATTCCACTAAGCAGATTATGGCCAAAAATGTTCAGTTGTAGCTGTGATCCTGTAGCATCAGACTTGAAGTCCTTAATTTTCAGTTGTTTGCTCAGGTGTTCCTGAAATACGCTCTGTGTGCCTGGGCACCCAGAAAAATTAACCATGTTTGAAAATCCTAGCTCGTTTATAGCAGAAGTTTGCAGTATCTCACTAACAAGGCCATCAGATAAAGACAGGTGAGAATCTCCCTGCTTTACAGAAAGAAACTACCAGCACAAAAGAATACTTAAATCTCAACGACTAGTTAAATCTTAATGACTATTGAATTTTTGCAAAATGAAAGAAGAATAAAAACAGAAAAATGATGATGTACGACAGCGTAGTGATGAACACAGCCCTGGTAYCTTGTTTAGACTCCAGAGCTCTTCTAGCAGAGCTGTGCTGTTGAAGGATGTACTTTGATCTAATGTTAGCTGGCAAAAGCCCTACCCAGATATAATTCGAATGGCTTAGGAGCCTTTTGTTAGTATTGCTTATTTAATCTGGTGACCTAAGGCAAAGTACACAGCAAATTGACTTTTGCTGCTACAAACCTTGTCTGTTTTAAGGAACTCTTAAGAGAATGATTAGAAGAAATATATCTGGAGAACCACATGGTTAAAAAGAGAAGCAAGCAAGCAAGCAAGTAGGATGAGATAGCTCTCTGAGCTGAGAAAGCTGCTCTTTTTCTACTCTATAATTTAAAAGGATGTTTTTAGAAAGTTAGCTAGCTCGCTCTGATGTTTTTGAAAGCTCTGCTCAAAACAAATTTTGCTTTACCATACGTTAATTGAATCAGCTCAGTCTCTTTTTCTGTAATGAGTGACATACATTAAGTTACATTTTGCCTAATCTTGGCCAGAGTTTTAGACATTTTTGATATTGTTAAATACTAGGTTTCGTTAGCTATCATGTAACTTCAGGTAGTAAACACTAACCCCCCTAAAGTCTTCAATGCCCTGTTTGCCAGCTAGACATAGCTATAATTTTCGTGTTCTTTAGCAGGCACAAAGTTGTAATTAAAAACTATATCTTTTTTTTTTTTTTTTTTTTTTTTTTGTAGGGCTTAGTAATACTGTACTCACTGGAGATGTCCTCAAGGACCACAGTTGAAATGCAGTTAGCAGTCAGAAATTCAGCATATTAAAAGGGATGGGATTCCAGCTCTCCATGCGTGCACCATGTGAACCAGATTCTTCGTGGCTATTCACACTGCTTCTAAATTCATTCTAAAAAAGAGACCCTGTGCACATGCATGAACTGGACGTTTACAATAACTTCTCTCCAAATATTGCCACTGTTCCTGCTTGAATAGTTAAATAAATGCATGAGCTTAAAATAAAATATCAGAAAAATCACAAACATTTATGTAGTGTTACTGAGAAAAAAAAAAAAAGGCCCAAAGTCTATATGTATAATATATTTTTGAAAACTGTGAAATGTGCAACACTCTACTACCCTGACAGAAAGTGCCTGAATATCTGCTGATTTCACCCAATACATGGATTCTGGTGTGTGGTTGTAATGCAGTTGGAAATACCAGCATATCCTCACAATCGTAGTTATTTATAACACATTGCAAGTATGTACAGACACATGAAAGACAAGGGTGCTGCTCCAGGGAGCTTGTAACTTGCCTCATATACAATACAAAGGCTAATAGTTCAAATGCATATGAGAGCAAAGAACAAGCGAGAGCTTCAGGGCAAAGCTGGTAATAGAAGGTTTCAGGAAAACGTGTTAGGGTTTAAGGTTGTCCTGTATAGGATTTAGTTTTCCTTCATAAAATAAAGACCTAATTTTATTTTAATTACTTTGCAATGAACCTAGGAAAGGTACAACCCAAAACTCTTGCAGACAACAAACATCCCAGGACAGATCTTAGGAGATCTGGATTTGGGAGATGTTGAAGTAAACTCAATGCTCATTTACTGTCTCCCCAATCTCCTTCATTTTTTTTTGGATTTACAAGAAAAGTGTGGCCTGTCAGAGTTGGACAGGATAAAGATGATAGGTGGAGAAAGCYTGAAGTTACCCATGCTTTTTTTCTGTGCCTTTTCCTTCTCCCAGAAAAAAACTTCCAGTGCGTGAGTGGGACAATATGGGACAAAGACGATGGTTAGAGGAGACCCGGAAACCAGGCTTGGATTCATCCTGGAAACCACTGGGAGTACCCATGACTGAGACACCTTGTGAAATGGCTTTCTAGAGTTGTTGCACCTGCGATGTTCTCCGTCTTTGCTAGGTAAGGAGCGAAGCGCAACACGGCACCAAGGCCTCGGCGTGTCTTCAAGGGTGGCCCTGAGCAGAGGGACGGGAGGAGCCCACAGCACAGCATGGAGGACCTGGTCACTGGACAGCACCAAGCACTGCCACAAGCCATGGTGAAACTGGGCGGCTGCTCGTGAACCACGAGGCGGCTGTGGTGAGGGGCACCCAACAGGGCTTGAGAACATAAGGGCGGGTGGCTGGGAGCAGGGGTGCTCACGGTGCCCAGTAAGGCCARTGCAGACTGGTGTGAACCAGCACAGACTGGTACAGACTGCCATGAACCAGCGCGGACTGGTGTGAACCAGCACAAACTGGTACAACGCAGCACGAACTGGTGCAGAGCAGTGTGAACCAGCACAGATCAGTACAGCCCGGTGTGAACTGGCACAGACTGGTGTGAATCAGCACAGACCTGTAGAGAGCAGCACGAACCAGTGCAGACCGGTGCAGAGCATCACAGACCGGTGTGAACCAGCACAGACTGGTACAGAGCGGCATGAACTGGTGCAGACTGGTGTGAACCAGCACAAACTGGTACAAACTGCTTTACACCAGCACAGACCAGTGTGAACCAGCACAGACTGGTACAGAGTGGCACGAACTGGTGCAGAGCAGTGCGAAACAGCACAGATCAGTACAAATCGGTTTGAACCAGCACAGACTGGTACAGTCTGATGCTAACTGGTGCAGACTGGTACAGAGCGGCATGAACTGGCACAGACTGGTGTGAACCAGCACAAACCGGTACAAACTGGTTTACACCAGCACAGATCAGTGTGAGCCAGCACAGACTGGTACAAACTGGTTTACACCAGCACAGACCAGTGTGAACCAGCATAAGCCAGTAAGCCAGTATAGAGCGGCATGAACTGGTGCAGAGCTGCACAGGCTGGTGTGAACTGGTGCAGACTGGTAGAGAGCGGCATGAACTGGTGGAGACCGGTGTGAACCGGAGCAGACCGGTGCGAACCGGAGCAGACCGGCACAGACCGGTGCGAACCGGAGCAGACCGGTAGAGAGCGGCAGGAACGGGCAGGAGGCGGCGCGGAGCGGCGCGGACGGGAGCGTGGCGGCTCCGGGACTACATTTCCCAGGGAGCGGCGGGCGGGCGGCGGGCGCGGCGCCGCCCGCTGTCAGCGGCAGCGCGGCAGGTTGCTCGCGGCG